TCGTGCGTTGCATGTTACGTATCTTAAAAAAACAACAGAAAATGTTGTCGAAGCTGAAAACATTCTGAAAATGTAGCCACGTTTCTTTGGAAACGTAGCGATATTAGTACGTGCAGTTTGACTGTGTGGAGTTGTGGTTACTGTGTGACTGCTTTTAGGTGGCGTAAGTCATGTATGTTGTGATCTTGTATCTATGTTGGTATAATATGAAAAGGACAGGGTATTATTGGGCAGGTCGGTTTTATTGGATGCGCGTTTATTTGTCGATGTTAGGTGGGCTGATTGTGTTAATGTGGTTTTGAAATGTGAATGTAACATTATAATGTTGCGAATCAATTAGCCGACAACTTGTGAAACGTAATAACAGGATATAATAAGGTTTATGCGTTGCATGTTACGTACCTTAAAAAAACAACAAAAAATGTTGGTCAAAAGCTGAAAACATTCTGAAAACATCAAAAGTGTTACGGGTCATAGTGTGTGGCAAACCCGATTATTCTCATTAAAAACATAAAGACTATAAAAATGTTGTATTTGAAAATATATGTGGCTGCATGTAATGCTAAATTGGTTCTTTGCACGTCTTTCTGTTGTGGTTCCCCAAATGTTGGCAACGGCTGCATCTAATCTGTTAAACTTCTTCCCCCCTTGAAAGCATTCGTTTTTTTTTTGGGCCTTCCCGGTGGTCGTTTGACAGCTGGTGGTTGTATGATGTAATCTTCAATGCTAAATGGTGGTTTCTCAACTGTGGGTATGGGGTGTATGTTGCAAGCGTAAGAATTTCGGTACTCCGACACATGGTAATACGGATCGACTAAATCATAAAGGTCGAGTCCGCTGTTGCGAATAGCAACAACAGCGTGAGCACAAGGGAACCCTTTGATTTGCCACTGGAAACATGAGCATGTACGCCTTCCCACATCAACCATTACTGATGGAAAAGAGTGGACCTCGAAAATCTCATTGTTGGACTGACTTAGAAGCCATGATCTGCCTGTGTTGTATGCTTTAACTAACCGATCTTCCATCTTCGGGCAAACAACACCAGGCCACGATTGCGCCTTGAGTCAGCGTTTGGACATCTGTCGCATAATCTTGGTCCGAATACTGTTAACCAATTGAGTGATTGGGAGGTGGCGTGTTTCCCGTATCCATGAGTTGAATGACTCGACGGCATTAGAACTCATTTCGCCATAACGCGCACCGCTGGTGGGATAGATACAGTGACTTTGTTGGACAGAAATATACAATGTGGCATTGTGAGCATGACACAATATAAATTTGGTAAAATTAAAAATGGTAACTGTGTACCGGAAATGCGCATTTGCCCAGTACTGTGGCAGTAAATCTTTTAAGAAAGCTGGTGAGACCTTGGGACTAGCCTTCATGAACTCCTCAAATTTCTCGTTGAATGCAACAACTGTTGGTGCATACGCACAAGATCGGAATTTTGACAACAAACACGCGCGGTATGAACTGTTGACGTAGCGTAATTTGTCTTGCAAGTTACGTTTCAAATGTTCTAAGCAAAATGCGTGATGTGCTATGGGAAATATGGCTGGGATTGATTCCAGCAGGCCTGCGTGTCGGTCGGACAAAAATGTTAGTTCTCTTTGGCCGTTTACAACGTTTGCGAGGTGTCCCAAAAACCAAGCCCAATTTGTAGTGTTTTCGGAATCAACAATGGCTATGGCTAAAGGGAATAGACCTGCATGCAATTAATTTGTCAAAAGGTTAGTCGAGTATTTTCTTATAGACTAATGTGTACATTAATGTAAGCAGACATGATCGAATGTGGCAAAATATGTTGCGCATGGTCACACAAAAACGTCATACCTTGGTTGCCATCTTTCGCTGTGGCGGCCAGCAAGTTCCCCTTAAATTTCCCCTTTAGAAATGTCCCATCCAAAAAAAGCATTGGTCGGCAATGGGTGAAACCATCAATACATGCTTTGAATGATATGAAATATCCTGAGAAACGGTTGTGTTGTTCGTCGTACTCAATGTTGACATAACTACCTGGGTTGTTAGTCATAACTGCATCGCTGTACCAACGTAATTGGTCAAACGAGATTGAGTGTGCACTGAACATTTCACCACGGGCTTTTTCGACACCTAACCAGGCAACCCGAGAGCTAACCTCCAAACCGTAATCTTTTTTCAAGTCGTACACAACATCAGTGGGACGTGTGAGGGGTTTGTCACGCACCTGTTCAGAATGGCATCAGACACTAAGTCAGAACCAGCCCTTGGGTTTTTGGGTGTCCGAACGGAAACACCACAAGTGTGCAAGCCATTCCACTTACATACGTAAAAAAAACCATTGGCACGTAAAACACGTGCATGTACGGACCACATACATCCCTTCGATTCGCGTATCATGCATATTGCTATAATCCGAACAGAATCATTCTTAATATATTTGAAGCGAAATCCGTACTCCACCGCATACTTGCGAAGAACCGTTCGAAATTCAGCAGCTCCCCCTTCAAAACTTTGACCAACATTTCGAATTCCGTTCGCCCATAGAGCAGACAAAAAAACCTTATCGACGTGGGGACAATATTTGTCCAAACAATCTTGTTCGTCATCCATATCCGACTCGTCAGACAACACATCCGACAGACATGAACCAATGTGTACATTGTTTTTAGGATAGTGAACATTTTCTGAATATCCCGTACGTGGTACCTCAATGATAACATCAATGCATTGCACCCAAAAAGATCGAGCAAGAGATATCATGTTCTGCATATCGACATCATTCTGTAATGTGAAGTTATTGTAACCTGGCATTTTGAAGAAATAACACAGATTGGCAGGTGTGAGTCCGGAGAATTTTTCGTAAACATGATTCACCAAGTCTTGAAATCGGAATGGGGCTTCCAAATTGCCAACGACATTTGTATTACCGTGACAACATATCAACATTACATGTGTATCCATCGGCTGTAACAGAACACAAGCCCACGCATTCAGAATATTAAATTCAATAAGCAGACAAAGTCACACAACCTCACCCCAGAAATTAATAATAGTGCCACTACAAAAAAACACAGATTTAGATACACATACAGGAAACACCCATACGAAATCAGCACCATTCCAGTCTCCACAACCCACATCCCAGTGAATATACAAACATTGTAAACACATCCACACAAAGACAAACCACCACACAAACGAAACCCACTATCCTACCTCCATTCCGACTAATGCATCACCACAAACACCCACATTGACCATACCCCACTAACACCAATTCATACACATGCCCAATACGTTATGTAACATGACGTCAACGTACTGGTGCAATCTAGTTCACAAAACAAATCAACAAAACGCATAAATCAACATCGCAAAAAAAGCATGACATACCTGCAAACCAACTGACATTGTCGAGGTCTGAATTGCTGCATATGCCACCGAAACACACAGGCGTCACAGCACCAACACTACGACGGCGCACCACAAACCCTATCAAATAAGTGGCTGACCCATCCTTTGAAGCAATATTCAACTTACCAAATATGGTGTAACATTTCCAAAAAGAAACGTCTGCCCATAAAACACGTCCCACTGAACAAATTGAGGGCACAATCGTCACAAATGAATACAAAAAATGAAAAAAAGGATCAAATGGAACATATCTATCTAGTAATAGGACTTATTGGTTCAACAGTTTAAATTGGGGATTGATTGGTATAGTTGTTTGTGAGGTAGGATTTATTGGTAAATAATCCTTTTAAATAATACTAAGTTTTTTGAGTGAGCCAAATATTTTTCCTTATTAAAATTGCAAAAAAATAGAAGGTACATGAAATAATAATAAAAAAAAGTGAAAATAAAAAATAATTGTGGTATATAGTTAAAAAATATTTACAAAAGGATGGTCATATTTTTTTTCTTCTCCTATCAATTTTGGCCCAAGTCCCTTTTGAAGAGGTCCATTTTGGAATGACATACAATTGCTCTCTCGGTGCGGCTTGTTGCCGTGGAAGGCTTCTAGTTAATAGGCCCGTTTGGTAGAGCTGTGCGAAAATGATTATGCCTTATAACTTAACAGCTTATACCTTATAACTGTAAACATAAGTTGATTTTTAACTTATAAATTAAGCGTTTCTCCTTTCCCATTCAAAGAATAAGTTGATTTTTGACTTACAAAAAGCTATAAGCTGTATTGTTAAGCTGAACCAAGCACATCAAAATAGCTTAAATTAAGCTAAAAGCTGAAATAAGCTGGAAATAAATCTTACCAAACAAGGCCAATGTGTGGTAATAGATTTGTATAGTAGCTCTTGTCCACCTCGTTTTAGCTGTTTTTTGGATTGTTTGCTATGAGCGTGTTAGATTCGCCTAATGTTTTGTCCAATAAGTCATTTTAAAATATCATATTAAAAAAATTTATATAAGTATGATATTTTGAAAATATAATTTTAAAAGATAAAATATGACATACTTGATGGGTGTTATGATTTCTCATTAATCACAGTAATATTATGTTAGGTTATGAAATGTAAGTATATTTTATTCATATTTTATATATCTTTTTTCTTTTTCTTTTTAAATCACTTTTTAAATTTTCTAACTAAACAGTATAAGAGAGAGAACGAGAAAAAACCAATCTTTAGTTGTTCCTTTCGAAAGATAAGTTTTACATTACAAAATAGAGACAGACAAATCAAATAAGTGTTTTTGTCATCACACTTATCTTTGCAAATCAATAAATAGAGACACCAAACAGAGATAAATAAATTGTTTAATGAAAAATAAAGAAGATAGAGAGAGTGAGGTGAAGCATGTTTTGGGATTTTAACGTGGCATCATCTCAGTACAAAAGGTCTCTGCATGTGAAACAAGTGTGCATCAATCGTGGAATGCTCACAAGGTCTCTCTCTCAACTCTTGTCTAAATTTATAAATAGTTGGACGATCCATCTTTGATTTTAACTTGTAAGTTGGTGAATCAACAGGCCTTAGATTTTTCATCATCAGTTGCTGTGATTTAGAGAGTGAGTGAGAGAGAGAAAGATGCATTCTGCAAAGGAGAAAGTTAGCAACGTGGTCAGTGAAGCCAAGGGAAAACTTGATGAGACCAAAGCCAAAGCAGAAGAGAAGGTATACAATTTGTTATTATATGAGTTATATGATTTTAAATCTTCAATATATTTTAATATATTAGTAAAAATAAAAATTACAAAATATGTACATATTGATTTGTTCGTGATATGTTTTTATCTGTAATATTTACAATTATTCGGTCCACTCAAATAATATTTATTGGTCTTGGTTTGGGAGCGGTCTCACATTCAAAACCTCGCCCAAATAATTTCTTCGGCAAGCTCTGGTTTTAAATGGATTAGGCTAGTGAGATTTATTTATTTATTTATTTTTTATCATGATTTCGTTAGTGGGATGGGTCCTCAAATTTTGACAAGGATATGTGTTATTAAAAAATATGTGTAGCTGTCATAATTTTTTTTTTTTTTTTTTTTTTGGTTTTTTAATTTAAATTTTAAATCTTCAATATATTTTAATATATTAGTAAAAATAAAAATTACAAAATATGTACATATTGATTTGTTCGTGATATGTTTTTATCTGTAATATTTACAATTATTCGGTCCACTCAAATACTATTTATTGGTCTTGGTTTGGGAGCGGTCTCACACTCAAAACCTCGCCCAAATAATTTCTTCGGCAAGTTTACTCTGGCTTTAAATGGATTACGCTAGTGAGATTTATTTATTTATTTATTTATTTTTATCATGATTTCGTTAGTGGGATGGGTCCTCAAATTTTGACTCAGATATGAGTTATTAAAAAATACGTTTAGCTGTCATAATTTTTATTTTTTATTTTTTTGCGATTTATAATTTAAAAATCCTTTAGTATTTTTGATATTGTTACAGTAGCCTCATAAATTAGATTTAAAGTGTGACAATTTAAGAAATGACATTACGTGCTAGTTGAGTTTGGAATGTTTTTTATTATTAAAAAATTTAGCCAAAACTCCTCTATTTAACTCTCTTTCAGTGAAAATAACAGTTTAATTTATTTTGCATCATAAACAGAGGAGACGTGCATAATTGTGTAAGAATAAAATAAAATATTTCTTTTTTTTCTTTGACAATATTACCAGAGTAACATGTTACTGTAAACCAGAGTAATATGTTAATCTCAAATAGAGTAATATGTTACTATTTACATTAATTTTGACGGTAATAGATTTTTTTAAAAAGAATTTCATATTCAACAAATATCGTATTTGATAGAATTTGATGAGAGGATTCTAAAAATATAATTTTATTAAAAATCGACATCTAGATCAGAAGTTATATTATTTTAAAATTTAATATTTTGATAATAGTAGTATGTGTTGGATTTTTTAAGGAAAAAAAAATATATTTATTTTTAATGCATTAAAGTTTTATTATTAGAGGATTTTGATCAAATTTTTCTTATTTATTTTGCAAATAGAAAATTTATTAAAAAAGCACATGATGTGTTAAAAATATATATTTTTTTAATAAGGAGTGTGGGGATATATTTTCTGAGTCCCAACACGTAACTAAGGTGACGTCGACGTGTCAGCCGAGGTGCCACGTGTCCAGATTACGACGCCGAGGTTATCTCGGTAAGGCCGAGGTTATCTCCGAAGATATCGGAATCCGAGATAAGCGGATAAGGTACAAAAGTCCTAGAATAAGAAAGGATTATCTCTTGGAGAGTCCAGAATAAGCACTGAGTAAGAGTCCATTAAAGTTAGGCTTCTAGTGAGATAAGGATTGAGTTAACTATAAAAGGGAGGCACCCCCGATAGGTCTAAGGTATGTCTTTTATGCTTTGTCTAGTGAGTTAAGCACTATTGGTTATCTTTGAGAGATATTTTACTGATTTGATCGTCGGAGTGCCCCGGGTGGAAGAACTACCGCCGGAATCTTCTCTTTCTATTGCAGGTCAGCCATGTGTCATTTATTCTGCCAATTCTCTCCAGCTGATTACTGAGTTGACAATGTGATCGGAAAATCACTCACACAAGGAGGATATAAATGAGTCACATTATTTTGTGTAAACTTATTTATAAGATTTGCCGTAGGAATGAAAAATGAATCAATTTTGTGGGTTGAAATTTGCAGGTAGAGAAAGCAACGGCGAGGACAACAGAAGAGGAAAGGATGGCTGAGGAGAAAAGGAGAGCCAAGGAAGGTGAAGCTAAGATGGGTCTGCATGAAGCCAAGGCAGAGCACGCTGCAGATAAGTTGCAAAGTGGCCACCATCACCCTGTCGGGACTGCAGCTCCGATGGCCGGGGCCACAGCTCCAACTTACCCTCCTGGGGGAAACCCTCCTGGACATCATAAGTACACATAGGTTTCTTGTAGAAAACAAGAAAAAAGATAAGAGTAGTTGTCTGTGTGTTTGCGTCTGTAACCATGTTTGTGTCTATGTTTGTGATTTGGTTCTAGTGTTTGTGATTTTAGACATTATAAATAGGTTGCTTGTAGTAATCAAGAGAAAAGTATGTGTGTGTGTTTGTGGTTTACTTCTAGTGTGTGTGATTTTTGAGTTTAATGAGCTTTGTACTAGAGATGTTTGTGGGTGTTCTTATATATTATCGTTTAGATTTAACTTACAAATTTGTTGAATTTTACAATGTGTTATTTTATTTTTTTTCATATAACAAGTCACTCTTAAATAAATTTTTAAAATTTTGTTCACTTTATTTTTTTTCATACAACAAGTCACTCTTAAATAAATTTTTTAAATTTTGTTCATTTTACAGTCTAGTCTTCCTCGAATTGAACCAAATTAGACAATTTTTCAAGGGATCAAAATATATTTTTAACATTAAGAACACGTTGCTTTTAAAGTTGTGACACCTTTCTAGTGTTTCAAAATAGCTTGTCAATAACAGGAGACAAGTTGCATACACTAGCATATTTTAGAAAAATAATTCAAATATTTAATTTATCATTATTAAAAATCACTCTTAATGATGAATTTGACAAGTGTTAAATTTTAATTTATCAAATATTTCATTACGTGAGATCTAATCATAATCTTACCTATTAAGAGAGGTTTAGGGATAAAATAATAAATTAGAAAGATGTAATATTGTTATATGTTTTATCTCCGAGAGGAGGAAAAAAAATTTTAAAAAATCATGACCGCATAACAAAAGTGCACCTCAAAATATCTTCAATCTCAGCCACTATAAAAAAGTATTGAACTTCACAAAACTAAGATTTAACAAATAATTTAATACACTTTCTATATCAATTGTTGTATATGTCCAACTCTTCTAATAGACGAATCAACCAAAAAAAAACACTAATAAAAAAACAATAAAAGTAATTATGATTCACCATTGTTGTGATGCCTAAATGCATAAATTGCAGGAACATGTAGCAAAGTGCCACATCGCATCTATGAGAAAGGAGAGAATCAATTCTTAACATTTTTGGAAAACTATTATTGTAGCCAGATTAGATGAGAGAAAATTACTATTTCATAATTTAATTGGCCAATAAATTGTTGGAGCTCACAAAATGGTATAATCTTCAAATTATGTCAAAAATTGTAGGATTGATTGTATTTTTTAAAAAAAGATCTTAAGGGAGGGGAGTGTAATTTATTTAACTTCTGTTTTAATGATTAATAGTTTATTTGATAATATCTTTTGTGTATGTCATTTATGAAAAAAATTAAATCAATTCTATAATTATTACTTATTCATTCTATTGCGCTTGTCTCTGAAAAAATAAATTGGTGTATTTTTAAAAAAAATTTCTTTTGACAAATGTCATAAAATGAAATATTACGATTATCGGATTAATTAATTTTTTTTTTTTTAAGAATAAGGCCTCGTTTGAGAACATGTTATTTTAGTAATTTTTTGACTTTTTACGAAAAAATGTATAGAAAAATAAATAGAGCGATGTGACAGCTTAGGAGTTGTTTGGGAAGTGCTAGCTTGGTTTACTTTTTGATTTTTTACGAAAAAAACGTGAAATATGGGTTGTGTTTGAAGTGATGTGGTAGAGAGGTGATATGACCCAAATAAGATGATTATGACCCAAATTGGACAATGTGCTAAAATAGTATGTGTAATTTTAGCATATGCCAAACAACCACTTATAGTTACTTTTTAGCTAAAACTAAAGGTTGTCTAACGAGACCTAATATGCACGAAAAGTCTTATAATATGAACTGTTTCGATTATTGAAATGAGACATGTAGTAAACCTTATAGGCCAAAGTAATTTTTTCCAGTCTAGGCAAGTCCATTCCCAAATTTTACACCAAAAAATTTTAGGGCAAATTACATATACACCCCTCGAGGTTTGGTTAAATTACAGATACCCCCCTGAGGTTTCGGAAATTACATCCCGCCCCCTGAGGTTTGTATTTTCATAACAATTTACCCCCTGAGGTTTATATTTCATAACAAATTACCCCCTAATTTCTTATGCAAATATAGCATTCAGGGAGGAATTCGTAATTTCTCAAACCTCAGGGGGGTATTTATAATTTAGCCAAACCTCGAGGGGTGTATATGTAATTTGCCCAAAATTTTATAAGCAGCTATGGGAATAAAAGTTATGCCCAAAAACCTTAGGCCCCATTTGTTTTGGGGTGTAGAAGAAGAGATGAGATTAAGATAGATGTGAGGCCCAATTAATCTTCTGTTTGTTTGTAGATTTGAACAACGGATTGATAAGCCGAATGACTTAAGATAGGCCTTGCTAACAGGTTTCATAATCTGCTCCAACACTTGGTAATGAAAATTTAGTTCGTTGGTATTAGGAGAGTGATTATTTATTTACCCATCATTGCCCTAGCTCATCCTTGGAAGAAGCAACAGCAGGAGAAAAGAGAGCAAAGAGAAACTCTCATCTTATTCAGATTTTCGATTTGAAGAGTCTGCCCTACTCATCCTTGGAAGTAATAGCAGCAAGAAGGAGAGGCAAAAAGAAGCTCTCTCTTCTTCACAGTATGCTCTAGCTCTCTGTCATCTTCAGATTCTGCATTGGTAATTTTTTTTTTTGTTAAGCAAGTTATTATTTTTTATTACAAACCTCATTGGGGATGTGAATGCAATTTACACTTGTTAGAGATGCTCGCTCGTCATTTGTTCACGAAAATACTTCTCCATTATCCAAAAAACCTAAATCGTATTTTCAATTCCACTTCAAAGATTTTTGTCTGGCTCCAATTCGCCATTGTTAGCTCTCTTTCTGTAACAACCCTGACCTATGATTAACTGTTAAACCATGATTAAGAATACCTAATAAGTAATTAAGGTGGAATGTTACGTTAACTGCATGTGTTATATGCTATATGAAATTCTATCTGTTTTGCGTTGGATTATCTGGTTGTTTCTGCTTTGTTCTGCGAATTCAAGGCCTTATCGGCATCTGATCACAAAATTGACTACGGTTATGTGTTAGTAGGAATTTTTAGGACATTATGGTAGGTTTAATTGAATTTCGATTCGGAACGAATTAAATTAGAATCTTTAATGTTCACTCAAGCCTAATTAATCAATTCTCTAATCAAGCCTATATAAGGCATAAGTGGACCCTTGACTATACTTTACACTCTCTCATTTTTTTGTCTTGAGAACAAAAATGTGAGAAGAGCAGGAGAGGAAAGCTTAAGAATTGAATTCAACAAACAAGGAAGAAAAGAGAGGAATTGCTAAACATTGGAAGAGAATTTGGAGGATTTTAGCACTCTAGAGAAAATATGCATCTTAGGTAAGGAATCAAACTCTTAGTTGCATACTTGAGTTAGTTCATGTAAGAATTTAGGTGAAAGAGATGGATTAATTTGAGAATTAAGCTAGAATTGATGAATTAGAACTTAATACATGCATGCATGCATAGTTCATGGCATTGTAAGTTGAATTTTAAAGAAACCTCATATGCATGTGTTCATTTTGCTTTTGGTTTGAGAATTCATGAAGTTTACAACCAAAATATCTCAATAGTGCAAGTCTCAACATTTATTACAGAATAGAGGCAAAAGGGGAAATCTAAAACACCCCAAACCAGCCTTGGCTTTGACGCACTCGGAACCTTGAAGTGAGACACAATGGTTGGCTTTGACAAAATGGGAGCTTAGCCTGACGCTCCTAGTATCGGTCCGGTGCCTGGACACCTACATATATATATAAACAGTGAGCTAAAGCCCAATGAATAACAGTTTTGTAAAGAGGTTAAGAATGAATGTCCTTTCAGTAATTAAACAGTCATATCAGTCGTTTAGAAACCATAGCAGTCATATGTGGTACATCCTATAGCAAAACAGTACAGTAGGTCTTAACAGACCGAACAGTTAGTTGATGGCCATCGTAACAGTAACAATGGTGGTTCCAAACTTGGGAATCGACAGAGATCTCTGTGATAGTCGCAGTAACAGCACAGTAACAGTAAGTTGCTAAGGATGCCACGAATACAGTTTACAAATAGGACAAACATTCGTCCATTAAACAATAACGTTTCAGTAAACAGAACAGTTGATCATTCAGAAAATATTCATAATTGAACATATCTTTACAACATTGTTACTCACAGAGCATTGGGCTATAAGCAGCTAATGAGCGTCCTCGGATGCCAATCCTACACAGTTACAGAACGGATACACACTAAGTTACACACTTGGGAATCAACAACTTAGTCCCTATCTTGACTCGATGTGGTTCTACATCAATATCCTCATTAAGATGCCTTAAACATGGCCTAGGAATGCCTAGGATAGAAAGAAGATGCAAAGATGCACTTTAAAACACTTTTCAAAATTTTCAGAAAATAGGGGTCTCGCTCGAGCGTGGCTTTCTACGCTCGAGCGGACATGCAGACAAAGGATCTCCGCTCGAGCGTGACTTTCTTCGCTCGATTGGACTGTAAACTTCATGAAAAGTACTGGATGCATGCAATTTACGCTCGACGGACGCTCGACCTCCGCTCGAGCGTGAGACTCAGGTCCTCGCTCGAGCGTGAGACTCAAGTCCTCGCTCGAGCGTGAACTCTCTCTCTCGAGCGGATTGTAAAACACAAGAACTTCTGGGTACATGCATTTCACGCTCAAGCGCAACTTTCCACGCTCGAGCGGAAGTGCACGACTCAGAGGGTACGCTCGAGCGTGAAGTCCTACGCTCGAGCGTGGATCCAAAATCTCGAATTTTCAGATTCATACCCAAGCACAAAACTCAAGCATTTAAGCCTCAAACTCAATCCTTTTGGGCTAATTTTCAGGAAAACACTTAAAAACCCATAATACAACATGTTTCAAAGATCAATTTTGTAAAATCAAGCCCAAAGGTAAACCAATTGAACACCAATTTCAAATAAACTTCAAGAACAAGATGTACATTTAACATGCATTTGTTCAATTGAATTCAAAGCTACTAACACATGACCAAATGCAAGTTTTAGCTCAAGAACATGATGAATTCATGGACTATGACAAAAATGTGGACATGCATGTGGAAATTCATGAAGAACAACCTCAAAATGCTATAGTATAGACATGCATACATGAATTCACTCTCAAATTCAACTCTTTAAACCAATTCTTGAATCTAAACACTAATTTACCATGGATCATGCAAGATACAACTCAAA